TCAAATCTATTGATTTCAAGTAGGCATGTCAATGAATCAAATTTTGATCCGAATCTGATTCGAACCCAAATCTAATTATTCGGATATGGATTGATACTATTTACCAATTATCCAAATTGAATCTGAATCTAATATTTTATATTTCACGTATTCATGTTTGAATATAACCATATTCGATCCGATTATGATCTGATAAAAATATTTATATATTTTTGTATAAATATTAAAGAAATTAATTGATTATTTGAAGAAATTTTGTTAAAATTTTTTTAAATCAAGTTATTCGGAACGAATTTTTGAATTGAAAAAATCTGTTAGATTATCAGATTCTGATCAGACTTTCAAATTCAAATTCAAATCAGTTAAATCGATCCTGACCTGACCTGTTGAGTGACATAATTTCAAGCTACATTGCCATTTGAAAATTTATATCTCTATTTATTTGTGAATGTACTTTGGCAAGGCATTTGGTGTGGTTTGCTCATATAATTTCTATTCAGATAAATTCAATCAAAATATTAGCCGATATTGATATGAGTTGGCCGAGTTATATCCAACTCAGCACCTTCTGAGTCGATACCGTTACACATTATATATAAACCCCTAATCTCGGCCGAGTCGTCCGAGTTGTCTCCTAGTAAATCTCGAGTCGCTTAGTTACCGTCACCAAGTCAACCGATACAGTTTTGTGACAACGCAATATGACCTGAACTCTCATCATGTTCAACATATTTTGTTAGGTTGTATCGCCAAATACCACGACGCGACCGATGTTTCTCAGAGTCCTCCGAGTCGATGACCAATACAGTAACCTTAAACTAGGGGCATAATCCTCCATATAATGTGATTATTTGAAACCAAAGTGTCTTAATTGTTTCATTGTTAAGTAATTTCCTACTTACATTAGTACTGTAAGTTTGCCTGTCCAACCCATTTATTAGTGCAACAAAAGAGCACTGCTGCCAAGCATAGTTATCAAATCGTGTATCGGAAGGCGTATCGTAAGATACAAATATTGTATCGTATCGTGTATCGTATCGTGTATCGTAAGATACGATGCAATTTTAAATAAATAATAAAAAAATATATATACCTTTGAAAAAAAGTCATACACTCATAAAAAATATAGCATTTCATTAATACTCCACCAACTATTCAAGTTATCAACATAATCCACTACTATTATAATGCAAAGTTCACAACCATAGTTCACTAATTCAAACTTTAAACACCAAAGAGACTTCTAATCCAAATTTCTAACATCCATTTTGAACTCAATCTTCAATTTCAATTGAAAATGCATCATCATCATCATCATTGTGATCGGATGCCAACAAGTCTTCACTTCCTTTATCATCTTCAACTTCTTGTATTTGTTCATCCTCATCCTCATCCTCATCCTCATCCTCAAGTTGAACTATTTGCTTTCCTTTTTTCTTGCTTAAAGTAAGATTTCTAGGCCCTACAAAGCAACCAATACAAAATATAAAAAAAATAAAATTCAAAGTAATGGAGAAGAAGAAAAAACAACCACTACATTTTAATTACCTCTCTTTCTCTTTTTGCTAGTCCCTTCTTGAACCTCAAAACATTCACCAACATTCATCCAAGTAGTGTCCTCAGGAAGGAGTGCATCTTCTTTTTCAGTGATCCACTCATCATCAGATTCCATATCTGAGAGAGAAATAGGATCATAGGAATCACCCTCTAGTATTCTCTTTTGGTGTCTTGCCTCCAATCGAAGATTGTACTTCACAAACACAAGTGCACTTAATCTTTGTTGCTCTAATCGATTTCTCCTCTTAGAGTGCACCTGGTCAAATGTACTCCAATTCCTCTCACATCCAGTGGCACTACAAGTCAAGCTAAGGACGCGGATAGCAAGTTGTTGCAACTCTAGACAACATCCTCCAAATGATTCCCACCACAAGGCTATAAAAAATTACAATAGAATACTCTATTAACTAACTTAAGCAGTTGCATTCAAATAACCAACTTAAGTTAAGTTACCACTAACCAGGTTGTTTCTTCTTCCTCATTTGGATTGCCATGTCCATTCCAAACATCAAATCAGCATTATAAAAGATATCTAATTGTTTATCAACTTTTTCTCTCATAATAGGACTTGGGCACATTCTCTGAATAGTCTGATATAGTCCCATCTTTATCTCATAGTCCGCACTACCGGTGTAATAAAACCTGAAATAATTATTTTGATTTACAATGATCATTGATTAGCATACAATATATAGATATAAAATGATATAAAAATTGAGAAAATTAAGTCTTACGCGGGATTGAGATAATAGGCAGCTGCATGAAGAGGTCTGTGTAATTGCATGTTCCATCTAGTGTCAACAATAGTCCATATGGGCTCATAGTGCTTCTTCACATTACGAAAATTCTTTTGGATTTGTTCCTTTGCCTTGTCCATTGCCTCATAAATATACCCCATGGCAGGCTTTAGATCCCCATCTACAAGCCTCAACACCTTCACCAATGGCAACACACACTTCAAGCAATACTTGATTGATCCCCAAAAATTTTGGTCAGCTAGTATAATATCCATCACTTTTACACCATCTCCCTTCTTACAATATTGACTTCTCTGCCATTCCTCAGAAGCAAACATTGCTCTAAGCCCAATTTTATTTTCAAATAAACTCCTCAAAGTTAAATATGAGGTGGCAAATCTGGTCACACAAGCTCTCACCAAATCCCTTTTCTTTGTATACTTTCTCATAAGATTTAACACCCAAGAATGTCTATAAATGTAAACTGTGATTTTCCTTGCCTTTGACATTATATCCTTGTGCAGAGGAAGGTCCCCAATATCCGTCAAAATGAGATCTAGACAATGTGCACCGCAAGGAGACCAAAACAACTTTTTCCTCTTTTCCATTAACAACTCCCCAGCTTTTACATAAGCCGATGCACTATCAGTTACAACCTGAACAACATTATCCTCACCAATCTCTTCTACCATTGAATCTAAAAGCTCAAAAAGATTATCCGCATTCTTACAAATACCTGAAGTATCAATACTTTTAAGAAACACACTTCCTCTAGGACTATTCACTAAAAAATTAGTGATAGAGCGATGTTTCCCATCAGTCCATCCATCAGACATAAGAGTACAACCCGTCCTTCTCCACTCTGCTTTATAATTTTCCATCAACCCACCATTAATCAAATTTGTTTCTTTTTTCAAAAAAGAACATCTCACCTCATGATACGATGGAGGTTTCAATCCCTTACCAAACGATGCAACAGATTCTAACATTCTTACAAAATATGGATCCTTTACCAAATTAAAAGGAAGGGCATTAGCATAAAAACATCTACAAATATCCAAGCATACATCTTCCCTACCCTTTTTCTTCAACATAGTATTCAAAGTAATTGTGGTGGTTGGCTGTATTTTATCAGCAGTAGTACTACCCACACTGCCACTACTTTTCGAATCCACAAGACTCATATCTTTGCTAATTGCCCTATCATCCAATAATTGCTTAAAAAATTCAGTTACTTCCTCAGGGCAATGCTTACACGCTGCTACATCTTTGCGATTACTTGCCAAATGATTTTTCATTCTTGAAATGCCTCCCCAATAGACATTTGCACAATGAATGCATTTCAATTTCAACCTTGATCCTTCTACTTTGTCACAATGTTCCCATGTGGGATCATTAGCAAGTTTTTTAGTCATTTCTATATGAAAATTGGATGCAGGTGATGCCACTGTTGCACAAAATTAAAATTAATCAAGATTCAGAAATTTTTATACAAAAAAATTTATATACATTTGGCTTTGTAAATAAATTAATATCATTACATACTGCACAGGACCAACGATCAATGGAGACTGGGAAGAAGAAGAAAAAGGAGTACCTGGAGAAGGAAGAAGGCAGCGATCAACACCCACAGTCGGAGACAAGCAATCACCCACAGCGAGCAATCACCCACAGCAATCACCCACAGCGAGCAATCACCCACAGCAATCACCCACAAGCAATCACCCACAGACCGGCAATCACCCACAGACCGGCAATCACCCACCGACAGTTGGAGACCACCCACAATCGATCACCACCCAGACTCGAAGACCACCCACAGTCGAAGACCACCCACCCAGTCGGAGACCAGTCGAACACAGTCGAAGACCACCCACAGTCGAAGACCACCCACCCAGTCGGAGACCAGTCGAAGACCACCCACAGTCGAAGACCACCCACCCAGTCGGAGACCAGTCGAACACAGTCGAAGACCAGTCGGAGACCAGTCGAAGACCACCCACAGCGATCACCACCTACAAGTCGAAGACTTCCCACAGTCGATCATCACCCACCCACACACGTCGGTCGACGGCTGAAGAGAAACGACAGTCATCGGTCGATGGCTGAGAGAAACCAGACGTCGATGGCTGAAATGTGTGATATATGTGAGAAATGTGTGATTTTTTTTTTGTAACCCTAACCACTGAAACGACGTCGTTTCAGTGGTTATAGGGAATTGAAAAAAAAAAAATAAAAACACACCACAAACGACGTCGTTTTAAAAAAAAAAAAAAAAAAAAAAAAAAAAAAAAAAATTTTGCACGTATCGTGCGTTTCGTACCGATACGTATCGTATCGTAAAAACGTATCGTGTATCGGACGATACAACGCAAAAACGATACATAACACCGATACGTATCGTTTTAGGGCTGTATCGTAACGTATCGTACGATACGTATCGTGTATCGTACGATACTAACAACTTTGCTGCCAAGCATAAGAACTTTGCATACGGTAGGACAAATACTATATGCAAAAAGACCTGAAGGTTAGATTTGTCAGTTAACTGTCACGGTAAACCCCATTACAATGAGTTATGGTCTTCAACTACATGTTTGTCCTTAGAACATCCGCACATGTAAAATTTATTTCAATGCAATCAAACCTTATTCATGTTTTTAACTTTATCCATACCTTGCACACTTTATAAGCTCCTAAGGAATTTCAGTTGGCAATGGCATCATCCGTAACTAGTACCACATCTGATTTATAAATGCCCAATTGCCCATCCCTGACCTCAAGTAGTACCATGTTAAATACCAAGTAATGCATTAATTAAAGCTGTTGATACTCCAATACACTATCACAACAGGCCAAATGAGAACCATAATGATAAACTTATCCACATGATGTTCTCTATATATAAAACCTATGGAGATTGTACGAACGGATCAGACAAGCATTAAAAATATAAAAGCATTTTCTTTTTTGTTTGTGGCATATGTGAAACAGATATATGAGGTTTTCATTTGAATGAACACAAAGATACCCACCTTCTGATACTTTTGGCTGATAACCATCAGCGGATGTTCTTGGAAGGAGCAGTAAGTTAGCTTGTGAGAGTGATAGCACTGCCATCAAGTGCAAAGTTGACAATACCTCGAACCAAGCATTAAACATTGCAGTTTCCTATAAGATAGTTGTTTATAGTGAGGACAGAATTTTTCTAAACGGAAAATAAAGTAATCCAAACAAAAAGTTACATGAGATAATCTGGTCTCACCTCTGCATCATCCTCCTGATTAACCCAAACAAACTGTACTTTGTGCTGTAAAGGGCTTCCTGCAGAACAAAGACAGGCAACAACATGAATAATATCTAAGGAGAGCATGTACGCCTATAGGAGTGGCACGTGCACATGCTTTACCATTTTTAACTAATCCCAGAAGAACTGGTAAATAATCCTCAAGAGCCTGTAGAAGATCAGCCAATGTTGAACCTCCTTCACACAACATGTGATAATCAATATCAGCCCGTATCACTGACAATCAAAGCAAACATTAGACATCCTTAAAACTAACCATGCTGAGTAGCAGTTTTTCTCCTTGTTCTTGTAATTGTCGGAGCTTCTTGGCCGGCCATTACAACTATTCGGGTCCTAAGAGCAGAAAGTCGTTCTGCTAAACTTTTAGACAACTGATCGCCAAGTGACTGCGAGAAATCCACAGGCTTAGGAATTCGTAAGCCAGGAACAAAGACAGACACTTCTCCAATGTTTCCTGGTTGCCTTCTGTTCCCACCGGAGTCCTTTGGCGTCGATACCAGGCATCCCATCTCCTTAGACTTCCTATATCTGTGAGCCTAAGTTATCTGAACTCAACTGCCTTTGGTAGATTGACACTATACACAATGGCACTGTAATGAATCAGAAGAGCAGGAACAGGGGAAAAAAATAAATGTACCTGTATATTTGATAAGCAGAGTCAATGACCATATACAGGTGAAAAAACAATGTGTTATTGAAAATAATGAAATAATAGTTCTGAAGGATGTAGATGATGATCACAGGGAAAGTTGACAATATAGAAGTAAACATGTCATAAAGAGGCAAACACAATAAATGAACAACCAACAAAGCAGTTGGCCACTCACGAGCACTGCCTAAGAGATTGTTATCAGAACCATCTCTCTCTCTCTCTCTCTCTCTCTCCCTTTCTCTCTCTCTCTCTGGTGCGTGTTCCTATTATACAAACAGAGCACACCTTCTGTATTGGAGTAATAATTATTTGATGATGAATCTGCTTCCCTTTGCCTTTACCTTTACCAGACGAAGATCAACTGATTTGTCAAAATTTCCAGTAGTTTCTGCATAAATAAGAACATTGAAACTGCAAGAAGGGAAAACAAAAAGAAAAAGAAGGAAGTTTAAGAAAAGAAAAAAAATACATATCACAAGAAAGGTATGAGAATCGCCAGGTGCTCCTTATTTCAATGCATCCTTTCAGTATTCAAATTAAATGGACTACCAAAGAAGAGAATAGTTCCCAACAAGAGCATAGATAAAAGCGTCTAACATAAGGGTTTTTATTTTTCAGTTAAAAATAGAACTTTTGAATTCACGTAAAAGATTCCACAAACGTAAATGATCAAGCAGAGAAAGAAGAAAAGCGAAGTTACTAAATGATTTTGCCTTCCTGAATTTGAATTACAAGCTATCAAATACTATAACTGGACCCACAGTCACAAACCACAAAATAACAGCAGTAGTCAAAGGGGGTTCCCAACTGGGTTACCCAGTGGAGGAGCAGCAGGAACTAAACTAAACTAGGTCAGAGAATGCGAATTCAAATGAGACCCACATTAAACTCAGCGCACAAATCACTCCGAATTATCCACATGTATTTCCAAAGAAACATCAAGTGATATCCTGTATGCAAATTGACGCACGAAAATGAATTGAGTCGATATATGGTTTGTTGAAAAAAAAAAAAAGAGGACCGAATCTTTCCATCAACAAAACAAAAGAAGCCAATGAATTCAATTACTTTCCAAAACATACGTACTGTTTGAATCGGTATTCAATTCACTAATCTGTCACCAGCTGATAGCTGAGTCCGAGATTATATAATCTCCCTCAGCAGAATTTCAATCTGTAAGGACAGAGAAACAAGAGAGGAGAGAAAGCGGCTTAGAAGGTTCAACCTTCAACGTACTGTAGAAAATTGTATTTGCTGATACCTAGTCGTAGTGGTAAGTAAAACATACGAAATGCAAACAGAGACAGATATACGTGAGAGCGAGAGAGAGAGAGACGGGTTCTTTGTTTTGTTTTTTTGTACTTTTTTTTGTAATTGGGTAGACTTAGTAGCCGCTCTTTGCTTCAATGAAGTATATATACACGACACCGTAAACTACTAGTAAGTTAAAACAGCAGTAGCGTTTAAATGGCGCCGAATGAGTCCTTTTTAAAGTATGCATCCATCAACCTCCAACTCTACAGTACTTCTTCTTTGGAAAGCGAATTTGATTGAGATTTTGGGATTTTGATTACATCGGTAAGAACAGCAGCTTTCTTTCTTTCTCTCTCCCTCTCCAAACATTTCAAAAATAAAGCAATAGCAAATTAACATTTAAATTAAAATTTTGATTTGATACAAAAAATTTCAATAAACAAACTCAAATTTAAAAAAAGAGAAACTCAAATTTAAATGCTAATAAACTCAAATTTAAAAAATAATAAATATGACAATTAGATCTTTAAAAGAGTGTAAAATCTTACTGTAAAGATTTGAATCTCTCTTGATTTGAATAAAAAAATGAGTTTCCCTTGATAAGGAATAAATTTAAGTCAAAATTTGAAATAAATTTTTTAAACTTTTTTACTCAAATTTAAATTTGAATCTAAATTTAAGTAATGTTGGAGATGTTAAGAGAATTGGAGTTCAAACTAAATTTAACTTTATATCGTTCATGTTTATCGAAGTTCTAAAGTGAATAATCGAATTTGATCAAACTAATCTCACGTAGCTCGTTAGACCCGACTTGGCTCCCTAAAGATAACTTGCATGTACCCACACGTGTGGTTGAAGGTTTCCATTTTTTATGTTCTCTCTCTTTTTCTTCTCATTTTTTTTCTTCTCCCATTACCTATTCTTTCATTTCTCCCAATTTTTTGTCCTCTCTCTTTCTTTTCTACAGTGAGACGCATCAAACATTTAGCCTTCTTCGTTGTCTCTTCTCTGCGCTATCTAAGAGGATATGATATTATACTTGTGTAGTAAATAACATTTAAGAGTAAGAAAATATATTAAAAACCCATGACCTATATGGTGGAACTCAAAATGAGAAAAAAAAAATCCAAAGATAAAATATGAAACGACACCACTTGGAATATAAGATGAAAATCAATATAACTTGAGATGCGAGAGCAAGATGTATTGATGAGCCCGAATTTGAATGGGTCAAGCCCAATTTAAATAAACCAGGAAGGCCCAATCGGAGCTGAGTCGACCCGTTATGAGGGAATTCAAAAAGGCATCAAGAGGCCAACGTCCAAGAGGCCAGCGCCCAAGATACCAACACCTAAGAGGCCAACACCCAAGAGGTTAGCATCCAAGAGGCCAGCGCTTAAGAGGCCAATGCCCAAGAGGCCTGTGCCCAAAAGGCCAACGTCCAAGAGACCAGCGCCCAAGAAGCCAACGCCCAAAGCACTTGGAGCGCCACCGGAGGGGTCACCCAAGCTAGGCGTCGCCCAAGGCTGCCCCCTGGTCCTCCTACGTCTTCTTCACTCCAATGCAAGTCCAGTCCACTCCAACTCAACGTCCTGGCTCAGGATCAAGCTCAATCGAACTCAGGGTTTTCATCTGATTGAATAAGAGCATGAGGGAGAGAATGTTGGGATGGAGATTTAAACTTACCATGATTTCTCACTAACCAAAATGGTGGAAAGACCTCTCACTCACGTCACCGCCTTACCCTAACTATATAATGTACGTCCACTCAACATTGAGGGCACGCTTCTGAAACCCCTACACACCTTGTTCTCTCTCTCTCTCCCCCTCTAAACACTATAATACTCCTGGAGAACACTCTCTCCGACGACTTCATTCATTAAGAAAAGACTACAAGCCACCGTTGCCATTCCCGAGAGTGGAATAGGTAACCTAGACCGAACCATTATAATTCTTTATGTTGATTGCCTATTTACCACTTTTGCTCTTGATTGTCATTGATTACTTGTTAATTGCTCATTAATTACACTCGTTCATATTCTTGACTGTTGATTTTGCACAACACCGATTTGTGCATCATCATGTATCAGCACAACATCATTGGTGTTCTTGGAAAGTATGGAATTCATAATCGTGTTAATTGAAAAGTATGAAACTCATAATCGTGTAAAGCAGAAGAGATATCTTGTAAAGTATGAAAATTCATAATCGTGTTAATTGAAGTTATTATGAGTAGAAAGGATGTAAAAAATAAGGGAATGTCTTAAAAGATAAGAAAAATACAAATTTGAATAGGACACTTACTAACCGGATATGTATTCACTTAGGTAATGCATTAAGAATTAATGGTCTCCGAGTTTGGTTTCATATGTGTTACACTTGAATTGACCAAAGTTGCAATATATGAACATGTGTGAGTGAAATTGAACTAAATGAGAGAACATTGCTCTAAGCTACATGAAAATTGAGTTCTATATTTGTTAATATATCTTAGAGTAATGTATCAGATGATGAAATAAGGATGGATATGCTTTGATGAAAACATGTGTGATTTTCATAGTTGATGACTTTATGCATTTATTGTTAAATTGAAAATTGCATTACATTTTGTTATCTGTATTTCATATGTGCATGTGTTGTTAGTTGCATTTAATCATGTACATACAATCATGCATGTTTTGGAGGCCTATTGAGTTGATAGGAGGATTAGAGAAGGAGGAGGAGTGGCCCGTTGGTGAGTTGATAACTGATCTATTAATTGGACATCCATGCTTTAGGGCCCTGAAGAGCAAGTGATCAGAATTGAGACTTCCATTTTTAGTGTCTTTTCCTTCTAACAAGAGCCAAACCTCTTCATAACCATGTCCATCACGTAATCTTAAGAGAATAAGAAGAAGAAACTAGCCTCTTTAATAAGAAGGACAAAGACTAGGAATGATATTTGATGTTCTCCATTAGCACTTGGACATAGTTACATGTCCAAACCTATGACATGTGTAGCATTGGAGACTTTGCCTTTCTTCTCAACCTCGTGTTGAGAAGTTTTTTCCCCACTTTCTTTTCCCTTTCTAGGAGACTTAGGTCTACTTGGAATTTCTTGACTTAAAGACTTGACACCATTAGCCTTAAAGTAATTTTGAATTCTCGTACAAGATAGACTATGTCCTCCTCTCCTAAATAGGGGAACTTATATTTACCCTCTTCTTCAATTTTTTAATTCAAAACTACACCCTTCACTTTCTTGGTTGGAAGAGGGTTCATCTTGAAAGTCAAAATGAACCCAACTAGGTCTACAACCAACACTAAAACGATATTGACTCTAGTCTCTAACAAGGTCACCTTAACATGAAATATCTCCGACAGAAATCTCAAGATTTTTCACTTGATGGCGGCATCGTCGAATTTGGTACCTAATACAAACGAAGAATTCACAATATCGCATAACTTAACATAAAAATTGCTAAGTGTTTCTTTCTCTTAAATCCTCAAAGTTTTGAACTGAGAGATGTACCTTTGTAAATGGGACATTTTGACCATTATAGTTCCTTTCTGAGATACCACAAGAAAGACCCATGCTTCCTTGGAGGTCTCACAATTTACGAT